TATATATATATATTATCATCTTTGAGCAATAAACAGCAGCATTTGTTTATCGCCGTAGCACACCTGACAAATCTGTAAGCCGCTCTTGGTGGCCTCTTCATTGGTTAACCAGTGCAAAGACTGCAGCAGGACATGTAATGACAATGTCTAAAAGTAAACAAGCTTCTGGAAAATAGAGATACAAGATTTTGCTTATAATATGTAAACATTTTGTGTTTCTCAGATTTTAAAGGAAACATAAAATTTATCTGACCTGACATTCATCCTAACCCATTTATCATTGCAATATTATAATTTACAATTGGCAACAGGGCAGGCTTATAGGACTTATTGCTGCGTTGTCTGGAGCTTTGTTGATGTCCACTCTTCTTATTAAAGACTGAACACTGCAAGATTTCCTCGGGAAATAGCCCAGTTTAGAATATGCTCTTTGTATTGTAAATGTTTGCTTGTTGCACAGAAAAGATAAAACACACTGGCACCTGAGGTGCCCTTCAAAAAGCCTGTTATACAGTAACTTTTGACTGATTAGTTTAATTTTATTCATTTTTACCTTTTATTTTATTTATCAAGTGAAGGGATAACTGAACAATGAATATAAATTAGTTTTGCTGATGAATTTCTCTGAGCTGTTGCCCAACACAACCACAGTCTTCCATTATTAACTACTAATTACTGGTGAGGCGCAGCAACCAACATTACAAAACAGCACATTGAAATTCCAAATACTACATCAGTATTTCAGTAAACTCACCACTCCCAAACCCGAAGACTCTTGTCGTCTGATGTGCTGACAAACCGACGGTTCTCATCAACAAAAGTGATAGTGTTGACAGCTCCCAGGTGACGGTCGTACTCCTGAACCACTTCACCCGTCCTGATGTCCCACTGTCAGAGAAGCACAGAAAAGCAAAGCGAACTTGCCTTACTTTAGATGGACTCATAGTGGGGCTGTGCATGCAGTTTTAATTGTGCCAATGCAGTGAAATTACTTAACTGCAGTTGTGGGATGACAGTGATTAACAATCAAACACATCTCTCTCTAGAATGTTGTTTTATTAAAACATTAAGCACACATTCAAATATAAAGAAATACAACCTCACAGAACCTGCCCGCAGGTACAAAAACAAATACGGCACATTTCTGTCCAAACAAATTCTACATTTTTATCTATTTAAGGTCAATTGTTTCAAAATACCACTCTTTGGCTATTCAGAAGCATAGCCATCTGTTGTCAAAACCCAAAGAGAGAGAGCTGCATAATTCAATACTTATTCTGATTACTGTGCCAGGTATTGTGATGACTGCTGTTCATCTGGACAATCAGGCAAATGCCTGCTGCATTAACATCTTGACATATTTTTCAAAAAATGCTAATACTGAAACAAAATGAAATAAAACTAAATAGATCAATTTCTAGTCCAAAATTGTATGATTATGAATCGTGGAAACTAAAATTGTATTTTCAGTTCAGTTAAAGTCTATTTGTTGTCCCAGTTTGTTATAGCCACAGAAATCCAAATGTTTATCTGTAGAGATTTAGGGCTACTTGTTCTGCAAACTGGTTTCCTGATAGCATGAACTGGTAGTTATGGATTTCCTACTTTTATCACAGACTGTGTTCTTCCTTTTGCCGTTTTCCGCCCTACTCATGCCTGTGATTAATGACTTGCTCTAGTCTTGTCAGCCTCTGAACGTCTCACCATGCACACACTAGTGCTGGAAGATGAGACGAGAGTGTATTTCATGCCTCTGTAGGCACGGGGGGTGTCTACACTGAAATTCATGTGTGCATCTGCTTGGTCAACTGGGAAATACACATGAGGTGATGGTGGGTGCTGAACTGAACTGCAGTGAAGCAAATGCCAGCTTTACCTGAACAATCTTCTTATCTGACATCCCGGCCACAAAAAGGCTCTGTTTGTCCTCGTCTGGGTTGAACTTGACGCAGTATGGTACCTTCCTGTTGGTGAAGCGAGAGATACACTGGCCTGTGGAGGGAGGCAAATTGAAAGTCAGAGTTTTATAATAATACCCAGTGGGTTTCAGAAAGGTACACTCAAGTTGGTTAAAATTTAGGGACACAGTCTTCAGCTTTCAATGCTATGTGCTCTGTCTTTGCAGGCAGCAACAACTCAGCTCTAATAGAGAAAATTCCCTGTGTTCATGCAGCAGTGGTGAGTCACTACATGAATGATGCCACCACCTCTGCTAGAGCGAAGAAAATTAAAACGACTGCAACACCAAGAAACCCTTAAGATTAGAAAGAAGCATTTACAACATCATCATTTCTGTATTACATCCAGGACCTTAACTGCAACTGGGACAAATCTGGAATATATTACGAAATTTAACCCCTATGCATCATTGCTATACACAGCTGCAGGAAAGAAACAAGTGTTAATTAAAACGAAACTGAAACATCATGACCACTCAGAGATGAGGACCTGAGCGACTTTGACAAAATGTTTTTAGCATCTCTGAACCAGCAAAACTTGTGTGATGCTTCTGGTCAACAGTGGTCAGTATCTACCAACAGTGGGCCAAGGAGAAACGAACTACAAACCAGTGCATCATCCCATGTGAAAGGGCAACTAACAGATTTTCTGTCTGGTCTGAACTGGAAAACAACAGCCAAAAAAACATGCACATAGGTGATTTAGGTACATGGTCATAGGCCAATTACATTCAAGGATCAAACTACTAGAGGAGCACCAGGTATGTCTAATTGACACAGGTGACACCACATCTGATTAACATATAAGAAAATGCAAGCACACACACACACACACACACACACGTCTTTAAATTAGAGTTGCTCAAAACATTGCAAGAGTTGCTAGACTTTTCATTTTTTTTTGTGATGTGGCAGTGACCAGCCACATCAACCTGCTCAGTGTTTGATTGTTTGTGTTGTCTTGTTGCTTTTCTTCTTTTGTCTCTCCTCTACCCACTCACCCCAACTGGTCGAGGCAGAAGGCCGCCCACCAACAGCCGGGGTCTGTCGGAGGTTTCTTCTGTTAAAGGGAGTTTTTCCTCCCCACTGTTGCCATGTGCTGCTCAAGGGGGATTTGTTGGGTTTTCCTCTAGAATAATAATAATAATAGTAAGGTCTAGACCTTACTTTGTAAAGTGTCTTGAGATGACTTGGTGATTTGGTGCTATACAAATAAAATTGAATTGTTATGAACAAATGGGAGATTTAGCTCTTTTCTGCTGGATTGGCATTTAAATTGAGAGAGATTATGGATGAGCAGATGGGAAAGTTAATGGTTAAGAACATGGTTAAGAACCATGTGGCACCAGTGAAACAGGGACTGTTAATTTAATATACACAAGTTTAACAAGTTCACAGAGGCACACATAAAGCAGGTTTTTTTTTTAATTTGGTTACACAGACATTTGAGGCCTTACCCTCCTGTCTAATAAAATGAAAAACCCCAGGCTAATTCAATTAACTACTGAGGGAAATTGACATATTAAATCCAATAGATTAATTCTTCACTCTCATACACACCAGAACAATATCCACAACATTATGCAGTCTGCTAAGATGCTAAGTAGGGCTACTTTACAAGTACTATTTAACACAAACAGGCACTTTACTACCTGTAAGTTTATAAATTCTATCATATAATCAATCCTAAAACTACTGCTATACAAACAGTGAAAATATGAAAACCCATGATGACTTTTGTTCCTAATACTTATATGGATATGAGACTTTGACCAAAGAGTTTTGTTGCTTCTCAGTAGGTCTTTGTCATTACAATTCCACAGAGCCTGTGTTTCTGAGGGCACAGTTTGCCACAATGTAGAATTGTGCAACTGTATTTAATTATGTATTTTATATGAGCTATTAATGTTACGAGTCTGTCTATGTGTGGACTAATGGTGCACTGACCACCATATTAACAGAAAATTGGACTTCAGTGATAAATCTATCAATCAACATCTATCAATCATCAAAAATCTGTAGGCAAATGACAGGTAGGCCTGCAGCTAACAAGACCAGACAATGTCTTCAATCTGCTTGTTTTGTTCAACCAACAGCTCCAAATCAAAATACACCGTGCTGCCCCTAAAATACTAGTCAGTTTATTGTAACTAAAAAGAAAGAAGATTAATTGGTAATAAAAACAACTAACAGTTCCAACCCTAACTGATTAGCAAAACAGTCTGATTGACTAATTTATTAATCAACTATTTCTCAGTCCCAGAATATCTGTGGTTAAAAACAAGTTGTTTTTCTTCAGCATGCCCTCATAAAGGCATTCAAATAGATGTACCATGTAAGTGAGATATTCCTGTGGTAGACATCTCCCTTGATTCACTAATTTCCAAGAACCTCAACAACATTGGTGCAGCCTACCTGTCTCAGAGTCCCAGAGTTTTAGGTAGCGGTCATAGGCAGCGCTGAGGAACTGGGTCCCACTGTTGTTGAAGCAAATGTCTCGTACTGCTTTACTGTGGCCTAATGAACAGAGAGAAAATTTACACACATATTACAAATAAATGTTTGATAAAAACATTAACCTCAAACATTCCCTAGTCTTGATACTCGGTCTCCCCCCTAGCTGCCTTTCATTGATACCATTTTGGATTCATTTGAAGGATGTGAAATCTGGTAGAGGAAAATGAGGCCTGTTGAGGAACAAAGCTGAAGTGGACAATAGGAGACGAGAGAAATGGAATTTCTAAATGAGCTTGGAGAGAGAATGAGGAGGATAAAGAAAAAAAATTACATGCTTCCTACATCTTTTCAACTGTTCTTCTCTTCCTAATCCCACTCTGTGCAACCCTACGGCTTTCTCTCATACAATGAAGGTGATGAGAGGTCCCTGTGGGCTCAGCACATGCACACGCCTCCCTTGTTAAAGCTGGCTTTTATCAGGGATACATGGTCTCCACTGTGATAACAGAACCCACTGAGGCTAAACACATCCCCGCTTGCTTTCTGTAACCCTGTCTGCTTTCAGACTAAAAGCATCACCGCCAGTGCCTTGATGGGGTTTGTGTGCATGTATGCAGGAAGAAACAAATACAAACTACCAAAAACAGGGCGGACGTCATCAGATGTACCTTTTGTCCTAAACTGCATCTAAACATGATAATGCACACATAATACCCATTCATGCACACCCAGCCCTAACCTCAAACATTAACTGTTCCCCTTGCTTCGTGATTCCAACAAGCTACATGCACTAAACAATAACATTTGCGAGCATATTTCTATTGCAGTGTACAGCTTAACTAAAGACAACATGCAGTGCAATAACAATACAGTAGAAGCAATGCATATAAAAAGTAAAAGCAGTAAAGAACACTGTAAAAAAGGGTGTACATCCTAAAGAAAGAGGACCAAGACATAAAACATCAGCATCTCAAAGAGGGATAAAAAATAATTCTAATAAACTTTCAGGATCTTAATTCTATTGCCTCCTCTCTGTGTCTGTGTCCTTCTTTGCCCCTAACCCCCCCCTTGGTCTCTGGGCTACTGAATAATGTATATTCTGTGGAGCTGACAAGCAGAACCATGACTGCAAACAATCTCTATTCTGATATTCTGACAGTGTGCTGTGTCTGGGAAGAAACTATGAGTGCCCTGTACGTGCCGAACCCCTCAGACCCCATCTATTCTAGAAGAAAATATCCCCCCCACACTTCTGCCAACGGTCAACAGACGTCAGTGTTCCAGAAATGCTGAGCTCACAGTCTGTCACTGCTTGTGTGTTTCCCAAAAGGCTGGTTGCGTTAATGACCTACAGCATATTTACTATTAGCAAGTTTGCTGATGAACCACAGTTGTACAGAAAAGGTTATAAATTGGAGGAAAATTCCATATTTAGTTAGTTGTACTATTTCATACCAACATTTACCAAAACTGATCATGTCAAAATGTAAAATATAATTTTCAAGTGTTTAATGAGAACTCTAGTCACTTACCAATAAATGTCCGAATACACCTCCTCTCGCCGTACACTTCCCACAGCTGTGGAGAAACAGAGATGAAATTAGAAGTGAAAATAGATGCATGATGATGCTAAGCCCCAGTACAAAAATGCAAGTAAGGGAAAAGCAGCTAAAGCAAACAACGTTCTGTTCCAGGGGTAGTGTTTTACATCAGATTCACTGCAGAGATTAGTTTTGAATTTTCTAAGATGCAGTACCGTACGATATATGTTTAAGAAATCATATCTGATACTGTTACTTGCCATCACATTAAAACAAATATAAAATTATTTTTATAGTACCCCAATATGATATTTTACCTTAATCTTACAGTCCATAGAGCTGGAGAGCAGTAGATGACCAGAGCACGGAAACAGTCGAATAGCACTGACGCCCTGGGAAAGAAACAGAGATGATGAACTGATATATATACTGTATTTAGCCATATGTCTCTTTAACACGAGCATGCTAATAACTACTACAGCTACTAGCCCCAACAGTACTGCAAACTACATTTTTGTACGTTATTAAATTAAATTTAGCACATAACAGTACCAGGCTAGGAGAAAGCCAAGGTTTGCAGAGTGCACTGGGCAAAATGCATGTTAGCAAAGACTTAATATTTAAACATTTGTAAAGATATTTCTAATCATGTGCTGTATAATATTAGAATGCCACTCTTTTCTAAATGTTGACATTTAAGGGTGCTGTGCGTGTCTGCCTGGACTACACCAATGGCCTCCTGGCTTTAATTTATATTACTGGTAAAAAGTTTCTGTACATTTTTGGACTGGAGAGAAAATTTATAAGTTATTTTTACTGCAGGGTTTTATCTACTCTTGACAAAAGGAGTCGAGTACATTGATAAATGTTAAAAACTGCACAACATCTCAATAATCCATGTATAAAGCACTGTGTATTTTTATGCTCTTGACATTATTTGGAATTAGTCAGGATATTACTAATAAAGCATTATTAAGGGGCAGCAACAGCTGAAGCCCAATGCAACCACAGCAGACTAGGGTATGTGCAGACCACACTGCCCCTGTATTAAGTCACAGAAATTACGATGACTTTATGATGAAGTTATGAAACTTTCTGTAAAATATACCACAGAACTTTGATGACACCGCATGGGCCATCCTCCATCTATTATCTCAACATCAGCACTTCCACACATTTATTATCTTGTCAAACCTCTCTGTATTTCAAATTAGACTTTGGAGGCTTTAACTTCCTGCACACAGCAGACAGAACCCAATTTTAAACTTGAGTGAGTTCTCGCTCCCTGAAAGAAATGGTACATCTAAAACTTGAATTAGAGTTTCCTTGCAACCCAGTGTTTGCTTTTATATTTGAATTATAAAGACTGTGTTTTGAGTGAGACAGAATAATTTCTAACATGTCAAGTACAAGCGGCTCGTATGGGTGCATTATCATTTTATTCAAAAGTACCCAGGAGGTTTTTACTGACAGCCTTGGAAATACAAGGTCGCCGTAATGGAATTTTTTTATTGGATGTTTACAGACACCTATGTGACACTATGGTCATTTTGCACTTCAGAAATATTTTAAACTAATCTGCAATACTAGAACGTACCATTAGCAAAGCCTGCATAGAGAATACTTAGAGAAGAAAAACTTTCTAACTGGTACATAAAGTGACATTCATTAACACAAAGACACACAAATGTTCCTTCCCACTGACCTTGGTGTGACCAGACCAGATATGAATCTGTTTCTTGGGCAGGTAACATTTGTCTGGAGAATCTGCAGAACGCAGGTTGATACCCACATCCTGTGGCACATGGAGGTATGATCTGCCCTGGTAATCATACATATCTTTAACTGTGGGAAGAACAAGAAGAGACAAAATGTCATGTAAAAAAATATCCTGCAGCATTTGGATATATGTAGTTAAAGGAGCATGAGTTGTCAGATGTCCACAGCACTTTTTTCTAATGTTAAATCCTTGTGGTGAAATTGTTTTACCAACTACTGTCTCCAAGATGAAGAATATTTACACTAGAGCGGGTTACTGTACCATGAAGAATGGTCTTCTCTTCTGCTGGAGCCTCGTCCTCATTCCTTCCCTTCTTCTGCCTCTTGGCTGTGATCTCATCCAACTCTTTCTGCTCTTCCTGTTAAATAAAATGCATCACAACCATAGAATTACCAAACATTTATTTATGGATAAAATTAGGGCAGCATGGTGGCGCAGTGGTTAGCACCGTTGCCTCACAGAAAGAGTTCCGGGTTCGGGCCCCACCCGGGACCTTTCTGTGTGGAGTCTGCATGTTCTCCCCGTGCTTGTGTGGGTTCTCTCCGGGTACTCCGTCTTCCTCCCACAGTCCAAAGACATGCAGCTTAGATTGATTGGCCTCTCTAAATTGCCCATAAGAGTGCGTGTGCATATGCGTGTGCGTGTGTGTGATTGTTCATCTATATGTTAGCCCTGCGATGGATTGGGGACCTGTCCAGGGTGTACCCCGCCTTCGCCCAATTGCCACCTGGGGGTTGTATCCGATGCTTACTGTCTAAACCTGGAGGGTGCTTAGTACCATATCAAGTAGTAAGTTGACTAATTATATAAAGAACCAACATTCTCTAATAGTGTGTGTTACCTCGGATGGTTTGGCCACATCTTTCTCATCCACATATTTTGCCCATGGTCCAAGGAAAGTGTCAATTTCCCCTGCATCTCCACCTTTGACCTTTTTCCTTTTCTCTGACTTCTTATGTCCACTCTCAAACACAGTTAGCCCTGTAGGAGGCATCACTAAATATTACAATTCTGAATTTCCTTTAAACAACACTTCCATACAACATATGAAAAACTACATTAAGTCTCATTTATTCAACTGCATAAAGGCAAACAGATTAAAAACCAGGTGTTTTAAACGATTACCTTTATTCTTCTCAGCCTCATCAACTGCACCAATGTAGCTGTTAGAGAATGCTTGGTGTGTGTCAACAGATGGATCTAATGCATAGCCTATTGGCAGAGAGGAGAGAGTTGTAAAAAGATCATAAAAATTCAGGGTTCTTATATTGACCACATTAAACAAGTCTGACAGTGGTCAGAAATTAACTTACCATAGGTGGAGAAGGTTCTCCTTTGCTGTTCAAACATAAAGTCATTGACGTGAGCAGGTTCTACATAGCCAGATAGCATGTTCCTGGGGGCAGCCATCTGCTGGGTCTTAAATGGATTCATTGGCCCAAACTATAAAGAGGCAGTTAAAAATAATTAACTTTTATGGACACTCACAACAACCTTCTTTAAGCTTTGAGCAGTGAGGATTGAGGAGACATGAGCAAGGACACACAAGAACATCCAATGCAAAAGTATTTTATGGAGCGATAACTCCTTTATTAGAAAGCAGTTAGTGACTAGATACTTCAAATGAAGGACTGGAGGAAGGGATGTCTTATGTCACTAAAAGCGTACTTCCTCGATTTCTTAATTCCTCTCTCCTCACATTTTTTCTTGCATCTTATATTGTAGGAATTAGTGCTAAACAATAAATTGTATTTTCATCTTCAATGAGATCTGAACATAATCAACACAGAAGACTGCCTGAAATGCGATGAATGAGAAAAATCATTTTATTTACATACGAACAGAAACTCACCTCTGGTGCAAACATGGTTTCATATGTCGGGTTATAAGCGACTTCTTTCAACGAAGGATCCAGGTGTGTGCCACTCTCAACAGCCTCCTAACATGAAAATGTACAACTCAGCAAACGGACCCTCATTAGCTGGCAAGCATTACAATACGACATGGGCAATTTGGTGTAACAGATGCTCCGCCAGATGTTACAACCTAATCTACCCCAACCTACCCCCATAACGCTGAGGCGATAATATTACTGCCTTGTTAGTCTTTGTAACCAATATAACGATAACGACATTCAGTGTTTCCCGCTAATCCCTTAAAACTTTTATTCGGTAACGTTAGCGACATTGTAAACGCTACACTTAAAATACTATTCATTCAATAGTTGTCCTTATCCATTTTAACGGCATGTCATATTGTCACATTTAAGCACCGTGCGACTGAAACGTCTAACTCTTAACAAATATTAAGCTAACGTTAGCTAACTTGGTTAGCTTACCTTAACAGCGACCTCGGGAGCGGAATTGAGAACAGCCAAAGACATCGTTTGTCCAGACTGCAAAGGCTTGAGGTGAGCCATGGCGTCTGAGTCCACTTTTTCGACGCTGGTATTAGATTCCGTCTCATTTTCAGAATCAGAATCAGAACCGCTACCGTACGAAACGAGGAACGGAACGGCGGCAGACATCTTGGATGTTGTGAATTCACCGGAAGCAGATGGGCGGTACTTCATAATTTTGAACTTTGAACGTCCCTCCGAGGGACATGGTAATTAATGACAAATATACATACATAAATGACATTGATGGTATTTTGAAGATTTTATGACTAACTGAAATGGAATATCATATGCAGGTAAACAGAGAAACTGTGATGTCATAATAATCAATTAATCTATCTATTGTTAGGTATTTTTAGTCAGATAGAAATTGGATAGATACTTTATGTATTAGAAATGTTTAGTGGAGATAGGATGTCTAGTTAGACTGTTAAATGCTTAGTCGTGCTTATGAGTTTCTACAGGGTACATCTGGTCAAGGATAACTAGAGAGAAGATTTGATGACTGTCAGCAGACAGGGTGTTTAATATTATTATTATGACGTGTATAACTGTAGCCTTAGCCATAAGGCCATAATTCATAATTGAATAGCCTAACCGAGTACATCAAGCATGAATGTTAAATAACCGTTGGTCACAAACAAAGAAAATCTCACTGGGCTATTATGGTCAGTATTCTTGTTTTGTAAAATTTTAACATCTGATTGAGGATAACATTTCACATTACAGTTAATTTGTGATCAACTAATCAGTATATCATCAAATCTCTGCGCAGGACATTGATTAGTGGTGAAATATGATTTCTGTGCACAGTGTGATAATCAAATCAACGAGCTTCCTTGAAATCGATTGGTCCGCACAGATGGTTTGAGATAATTCCCCAATAATACGAACGCGCACGTCATCCGTAACTCTCCGAGAGCCCATATCAGTTACATGGGACGCTTTCCCGCGCCCCAACAATAGAGTGGTACGTACCACTCTATTGTACTTTAACGGGGACGTTTTCTGGCGAATAGACGTCGTTTCAGACTCCTTATATTGGAAAAAAACATATATGTCGCATATAGGTAAAACTGAAGGCTTGTTTTTGTTGCTACGAAACCTGCTGTTAGGTTCGCTGGAGCAGCTATAATGCAGATTTCACCAATATCTTCCCCGAGATTACCTTTGGAAAAAAGTGCCTGGGTTCCTCTCCGCCACCGCCTCTTCCAGCAAGAGTGCATTTGATATCAGAGGCAGTACGACCATGGATCCGGCCCGGGGATTTAAATTCTTGGACACGGTGGCATGCTCTACTGCACAGTAAGGATGGGAAGACAATAAGGGGAATTTTAACAAACGTATCAGGTAAGTTTTTGAACATTGTGTACTGCTGACACATTTTTTTTTTTTAAACTTGGAGATGTTACTTTAGTAACACCACCTTAATACCGTTGTATCTCACCACAGCAGCAACCAAACTGCCTTAAAACCGAGTCACTATGTTGCTGCTTGACTATTAATGGGCTTGGTAATTCAACCCTGGCTGGCCATCACGGACAGTCACAGTATAAGTGATGAATGAGGCAGTGTTGTTAAGGTTAAGGCTCCAAAGTGTCCGAAACCTAAGAAGTATCAGCAGTATTTTATTAGCAGACCAAGGCTAACGGTGCAGTCTTTTTTTAATGAGTTAATAAATGTACAGACTGTAACGGGACTGTTTGAAGGGTGATGAATTGCAAAGCTTCACATCTGCATGAGCTCCAGCAGCAGCAGCAGCAGCAGGAGCAGGAGCGTCTTGAGACTGACTGAGGAATATGTTGTCGAAGGGAAAGCAGATATTTGCGATGCTCCGCAAATTGTCTACCGTTAGCGAAGCATGCCACGCATTTCATCTTTCATGTGGCTGATTCGTCATTGGTATTTCAGTTTGGTAGAGTATAATTACCGCTGGTGATTTCATTTTACCACCAAGAACTCATTGACCTGCCTCAGAGGATAGGGGCTGGGGTCTATACCAGCCAGTTTGCATTGCAGTCATGGGGGATGGTAGCGTTCAGCCCAGTGAAAATCATGCTTTGTGAAATTCGAAACCTTCTTTGTACTACTTCAAGTGCAGCAGGAGAAGTAGACACGAGGAACAGTGACTCTTGTGCAGGGATCACAGTTTGAAGATATTCTTTGCATTGCATGATGCCAAGCTCATGTATCCTTGTGTCCTATGTGGCTTACATTAAAACTGGCCATTTTCTCTTCAGCCATTTAAACCCAACTAACAATACAGTCTTGGGATGCTTCATGGTTTGCCCATCTAAATAAAGCAGAAGTGAAAGCGCAGCCTGGAGCAGAAATCTGGCTCCAGATCAATGGGTGGTTATGAATGAATTGTCTCTGGAAACATCAGCTGCAGAGTCAGTGATAAAGGCAGGGCAATGCAAGTTTATGTGTATAGCACATTTTCATAGACAAAGGCAATTCAAAGTGCTTAACATGATGCACACAAATAGATAAAATGCAAAAATATTAACTATAACAATGTGATAATAATAGCAGTAATGTAATAATACATATAATAAAAGTATATATGTATGCTGCTGCGGTTGCTGCTTTAGATTAGCGGGGCCAGTTTTTACCACCAAGCTACTAAAAGTACATTGAAGTGTGATGCAGCAGTGACATTTATTTGGCTACTTTATGGTAAGGTTAAAGAATTAGTTTGCTCAGGACATTTCACATTATTATTGTCTTGCCAGAGGAAATTCTTTTAAGCCTAGATACCACATCAGTATCAAGGGAAAGTGCTGATTCTTGAAACTAAAATTAGCCGCACATCACTATACACCTACGCTGTCTGAACAGTGGTAAAATGAAATTCATAAAGAATGCATTCCCATATTTTATTAGAATCACCTTGATACATACAATTTATTATAATTGCTCATGCTTTGCAGATAAATCACAGATCTTGTTTTAAGAAATTATTTATGTACAAAATATGTATGTGAAACAGCACAGGCTCCTTGGGCAAAATATTCTGAGGCACCTTGCAGCTGTTTTAAATGTATCAGTCTGTAACAGTGGCATCCAGACTATTACATGACAGAATGAAAGCTATGTTATACACTATAGGTTTTACAGCAGCTCAGTGGGACTGTATGTACATAAAACAGTTGCCATAATGGGTGGATGTAAAGTTGCTGCCAGTCCGGTCTTTTCACTAAATGATATTCACAGAACTAGTGATCAAATTCACTCTGATGTAAGCTGAAGAATGCCTGTTGTGGTCACACATCACTGCTGTTGTTTTGTGTGAGGCAAGTTCTTTCGCAAGTGGGTTACCTCCTGGGCTTTTGTTCTTTATATGCTGTATTTTTTGAGCTAGCAGAAATCCATAAAGCTCAGATGTAAAGTAGGAAAGTAGAAAAAGTTCATAGAACTTGTTTTTTGATACATGAATATACTGTATATAGTAGGTGCTCGGTTTTACCTGGTGAGTGGCCCTGTGTACAGGTGTATTCTCAGAATAGAAGAGAACATACTGCTATTTTTTTAAACTGATACTGTTTTGTGAACTCTTTGCTATAAGGGTTTGCAGTTCTCCTGGTTTTCCCTGTGTTTCCCAGGCCCATGTGATAGTAGAGCCCTGGCATGCCTCCTGCTGGGGCCTTTGGACCTCCCTTATTTGTTGACACTTCTCTGATCCTATGCCAGTCTCCTGCTTTCTCATGCTAGCAAGAAGAATATTTTTCTCTTGTGCTGTTTTGTCTTTCTCCACAGAGTTGGAGAGGGGTGATAAGAGGACACAAAGAAGGCATAATCAAAGACTATGTAGAGAGAGAAAAGGGGGGGAAAGTCAAGAGTAAAATGAGTGATGGCTCCCTGGCATGTGGAGGAGGTGGGAAGAAGGTGGCCCAGGAATTCTGGGAAAGACAGAGAGAAAGAACATGTATGTGTTCACTGTGTAAGGCCCCTTTACGTGCCATTTAGTGGAGCCACAGACAGACCTCCTATCTCCCAGCTGTTAGGATGCTCCAGAGGCTCCAGCACACAGGAGCTATTGTTCCTCGCCTTGGCCAGGCGTACAGCTCCATAATACCGCTTCTGTCCCTGGTCTGAACCGGACTGACAGAAAGACACCAGGGATCAGTTAGACCAACTGACTGGTGCTCCTGTGTCTCACTGAACCCGCCTCCCCCACCTCCTCCCCTGCTTTGCCCATCCTTGACTGTGACTTTCTGCTCTGTCTGACAATTTACAGTGACTCTCTCTTTATATTTCTTTTCCCTTTTCTGTTTTGACCCACTTTTTATATTTGGAATATTGTCCTCATTTTCTTTCTTGCATGTTCTATTGCTTTTCTGTACAAGAGCAGGGATAGGAGCATCATCTATAACCTTATCACAACACTGTATGTTCTGTTTTACAGATATTATTAGCTAAACATTTTACTCTTTTAAAATCTTACTCTAGAACAGTACAGAAATATTTTTTAAATCAATTAAAAGCTTGTATTGTAAGAGAATGAAATCTGTTAAAAGAAATTCAAGGCTTCTTAGTGCCTTTTTAAGGACCATTTATTTTTGTTATGATGACAGAGCGCCATTATTCACCATTATTTGATATTATACCTTGCAAATAATTGTATATATCCATGCAATACCAGACAGGAAGGAGTTTCATTATCTTTTCTGCCTTGTACTCCTTCCCAGTCTTCTTGCAGTGCCCCATCACATTTGATCCAACTAATCTGTTTCCTCGTCTTTTTCATAGTTGCTACTGTTGCCGTTTCAGCCTCCGTGTTTCATAGTTTTACTGTCAGCCAGAGAAGAGGCCGCTGACAGGGTCTGTCAAAGAGCTGACAGGATATCTCAGAAACAGCCCTGTCTTACCGTGTTTCTGCCACTGCCAACAGGGCAAAAACACAAAAGTCCCATCTGAGCTTAGATCTGCCCCCACTCCACAGTACAAACTGATCCTCATCAATTCTGTCCTCCCTCTCTGTGTCTCTGTCTCAGCTTGAACGTACCACCAGCAGTTGTTTTCAGTCTTCTTCTTCTGTCACTTGTGTTTAGTTTCTTTTCTTTTTGCCTTTGTATATCTAAACAGCAGGTCCTTTCTGGCTGCTGCAAACAACATTTTAGACCACAGCTGCTGTTCTTGTGAGTTCTGTCACGTGCCACATCATTCCAGGCTTTGAGTCTAGCTGTATTTCATACAGCTGCAGCTTGAAAAGTACAGGGGGTATGCTTATGCATTCCAGCTTGAAAAATAATTGTATTTGTTCAGGCTGAGAACCTACTTTAAGTGCCATAACAATCTAAATGAGCTTCAGAGTTGATAACACACAGCCAAACAGAAAAGGAGAAGAGAGGGTTTAAAAGAAAAACTATGCAACGGTGGCTTTAAAGATCTTGCTAACAACCCGTTCTCCCCCTATGGGCTCAGGACTGTTTAGACCCCACAACCTGTCAAACAGTAACAGCCAGATATTAGGGAAATGGAGCACCACGGTGTCCTGTGACTGGCCAGGGTTAGTCTTTCAGCTCAAAGCCAAAATGAGCCACATCATGGAGTAAAGTACTGACTGTTCAGGCCACTCACCTGGTGCCTTGTCTAACCTTGGATGGTAAATGTAGTCCGATACCTTTCTCAGCACAATGTAGCCTTGGTTTGTTGCAGGGAGTGAACTGGATCCAGGGTTCTCTTTGCTGAGCCCAGCACTGCCAGTGGGCGTGTGTCCCACTGTGTATTTGTGTGTCTACAATGCCCATGGCTAAGATATTCTTAGTGTTTATTCTAGCAAAACAATTAGAGTGTAATGTACCTGCCCTGTTAGCTCACAGGGTGTTTCTGTTCTGTGCGTAATCTAAATGCCGCCAACTGACTTCAGAATGATCTCTGCAGCCGCACTTGGAGTAGGCATATATTTGAATAGATTTGAATGTGCAAAGTTAGGCAAAATAGCTTGTGTCACCATGATGTGTAACACAACACGGCTTCTTTTTCTTATTTTTCCATCTCTCCCTCTCTTGATCTTGAATATCTGTGAGCTCTTTTCGCCCACCCTCTCTTCCAATGCCAGGTTCTTACTGAACTGGAACGGCTGATGTCCCGGTCGTCGTGGCGATGTGTGATGATTGATAGAGGCTGGAGAAATGGGAGCCGAGGCACATTTATCCCATCTGCAGCTTGAAGCCCTTTTGTCAGAACTCCAACGTCAGTGTTCAGTTACAGACGCACTGAATTTTCCATAGGAGCGCTCATTTCTCTTCTGAAGTTTGTTTCCTGCTGGGTAAGACTACAAGGAACAGGTAGAGAAAAAGACAGCAGAGAACAAAGAATGAAGTTAAAAATAAAAGATGCAATAG